TTTTTGTTTGTTCTTACTTATATTGATACATACACTATTTTAAAGTATTTTTGAAAACAATCAAAAGCTTGGAATACACTTCGGTGATTAAAAAGATCCTAGTTTTTTGTTCAATGTTATCATAAAATTATACAATCTTACAATGCTTGGACCAAATAAACAAAAGTTTAATACTATATATATATATATATATATATATATATATAATGATTTTATTTTATTTTTTCTTTAATTGAAATATCTCATTCTATACGTAAAATTTTGTAAATCTGCAACTTAACAATGGCTGTTTCGCAAAATTCAACTTTAAACGATTGTCATTCATTTTACATTTACATTGTTAAGTGTGTACGTAACTTTGGACCCAATATATATCAATGTGTACACTTATACGAAATTTCATGACGAATTTAGCAACTCTGACTTTAATTGCACAATATGCTTGTCAGTCTTAATATTAGCAAAACGCCTCGGCGTCTATCACGTGCGTAGTTAGGCCCAGTGACGAATTTTTGTAGAGATTTAGAATATATATTCGAAGTTGTAAGTTTGGTATAGTGTTTTGCTGAAAGTGTATCCTGACGATTTGAATTTATTGAATAATTTATAATATTTATCTCATTTTCGTTGTCAGAGTATATGTTTGCACTAACCTTCGACTACTATTTTTTATTATATATAAATTTGCTCTAAAATTAGTATAATTTCTTAACTAATCATTTTTTTCATTATATTAACTCCGTTTATACTAAAAAAGAATATTGTGGTCATGGATAAATAAGCATAAAGTTGTAGTTGCTTAAATAATTCACCATAGTTATCAACGTTAAGCTCAGGATAAGAGCTTATCAAAAGTTGACTGCTTTTTGAAGTACATAATATATTTTTTATCATTATACTATAATATGCACCTAGCTAAGCAATTGCTATAAACTAATTACTACTACTCAGTAATCGTAATTTAATAAAAAAAAAAAAAAAATGTATTCGGTTTCCTAAAATACTTTAAACAAATTTCATTACTGGTAGAGAGCAATATTTCATGGGTTTGTTTCTTCTCCGCAATCGCTGGTTTCGTATGCGACTCGGATTGCGCATGTGAAGAGATGTCGAAGTCATGTTTACAGAGATTCTAAACACTTTGATTTTCAGAAACATTAATTTAATAAATATTAGTTATTCAGAAAAAATATTTTTACGTAAATGATATGTTATTAGATCGAAACATTTATAGTCAATAAGTATTAATGTCAGACAATAAGTATTAATGTTAGGAGACTTTAGACCTAATTAAAAGTAAGATTTCACAATAATAAGCAAACCATATTTCCTAATCTTGATTGATTTGAATTACTGTGATTAATTTTAAAATTTTATGAACTACTATTTATCTATTTAAAAAACCCAAACTGATAGAAAGATATTGTTCCACTCTTAATTAATATCTCGTTATATCTATGATACGTATTTAACTCCTAATCAACTGCAGAAACGATTGGCAAATTGCCGAAACGTAAAATTTATCTGTGGCTGAATATGTAATAGAAATGTTTTAATCGTTGTTGTGACATATGTTATTTTTTATGTAAATAATGAGAACTGTTAACAAGGGTATAGATTATTATTTTTTGTTTGCTGTATATTCTTCTTTTTATAAAATATTATATTTTATGGATTGCAATGTTGAGAATCACAAGTGATGTAAGTGCTTGCGCCTGAACCAACCGTTTATTGCAAATACTTCATTATGTTTATTACGATAACTATATTTCGCTTACAAGTTCTGGAGTGTTCAAATGTTTAGATCAGTAATTACCAACGTGGGGCCCATGCTCAATATAGTAGTAGTTAAGGCGCTCGACTGCCACGCGGAGGCACCGGGTTCAATCCCCAGTATAGGGATAATAGAGTATAGGGCGTAAGGTAAATTTATAGCGTATAAATATAGCGTAGAAAGTAAGGTTTATAACGAATAAAAGGTAGGATCTTAAATAAGAATTGTCCATCGTTTCAATATTTGTATGATTCTATATATTGAATTTATTATTGTCAACATACTAATATTACTAATGGAACAACTGATATAATTTGATACATATGCCTTTTTCTGATTCATATACCTTTTTCTGATACATAAACCGTCACTTGCCACCAACTGCTTAGAATAATAGAAACGTAATACGAATATTCTACATATGTTGTTATGGTATGCAATGTATTGTTATAAGAAAAAAAAGAACAATTAATTGCGATATATTATATAGTGCAATTGAAGTAGACATGCTAATGGAGTTAATGAAATTTAGTCGCAATATTTGGGTAGATATTACTATTTTTTCTTTATCAAAATGTTAACTAAATGATTTGTAGATTTTTATACTATAAAATATTTGTTAAAAATTGATTAAACAGTTTCTTCAGATGTTTTTAGATAAAGTTATAAAGTTCCCTAGTTTTGAAGCTTCTAGCCTGTTATATTGCAAGTCGCTAATAAAATAAATTACAATCGTGACCAGAATCAATATTACAACAGATTTTAAATATCGCGTAATGTCGTAATGACCCCGTAGCTGTAATGTTATAAGCTAATACTAATTGATAGAACAAACTTTAGTATGCATTTACAAATGCTTTATTTCTACATAACCGACAGCTCATTAGTGGTTTAGTGGACATGTCAAAAGAACTGTAAAAACATGGAGTAGCCACACTGTGGAGGTCATAATACTTTATTTTTTATTAAATATAAATTTCGGTTATTAATGAAAAATTGATAACAAAATTGGCTCACGGATATCTTGATAATATAATTAATATTGTTTCCAGATTTTAGTTTAAAGCCATTTTCGAATCAAATCAAAGCAGTGTTAGATTCTGAACAGATTCTCACATAATCTCATACAACCGCACGCATTTTGTTTTATTTATGAGCACGACGAAAACATCTCAGCAGTCTCGGAATAACGCAGATGGAATACAAAAGTTACGCTGATTTATTCTTGCTCGAGTTGCTCTTGCAAATAGTTCTGGGAAAGTCTTTTATTTGATCGAATGTGAAGATTTTAATAGAATCTTTAAAAATAACTCTTTCTAAAAAGAAAGAAAAGTGTGAAATCGCAATGGGTAACTTTTTACACTAACTACCTGAATCGAGTTGGAGTTTAACTCAGTTTATGGACCTGCCCTGAGGCAGTAATACCCAATATTATATAATGAATCTTGACAGTTTATACAAAGATGCTATTTTTTACATAGCGATAGATCTAATTTGAAAGATTTTTGAATGAAATCAGATGTGATTTATACATTGTCATCCTCAGCTTCGAAAAGCCTTTTATAGTAAAGTAAAACTGATTACATTCGTCAAAAGATTTAGAACAAGTATTGAGCAGAATTATTCAAATTTTGAAGTCAGTAACCAATATAAATACATTTGTCATGTCCCATTATAGCAGTTACACTACTGATAGCATCTAATTCTGTATTGCTCAGATCGACAGTCAATGTAGTTGACCTTTTCTTGAATTCTCTTAGGAAATAATTCTACGCTCAATTCGACCGTCGACCGGACGCAATATACAAATCGCGTATCCACGCATAAGGCAACGAGTGGCGCCGATGTAAATAAAATTCAGAGTGGGATTTATAATATAAATTTTATATACTCATTCTATAAGATCCTCCATTTATTTAGTTGTTCTTAACATTATGTTTCTGTGAGAAACTTCGTAAATGTGCTACTCTAAAAAGCTTTGTAGTTGCCTCCATAATGAAGCATTAGGAAATTGGCGTTGATCAAATTTAGTATGTAGTATAAAAATATACCCTATGTATACAATAGATTATATTGTACTAACTATAGGATATTTATTCTTTATTTTGGCTTAAGCTTCTGCAAATATTGTTTTATGTAATTACTGGCAGAGCTGTAGTAGTTCCATGTAAAAAGTTTAAATGCCTTTAGATTTTATCAGCCCATCGATTCGTGTTTAAGAAATTTGTTACTGCTTTCAATATAATGAATTCTACTATATTATTATTAGATGAACTCAAATAATGTTATTCAAATAAGCTAACCAGAGCACAACTTTACATCATTGAATAGCACAGTGTTTATTTTCAGTGATAATCACGCAAGAAGCGCAGGATATTACGATATTAGGTCAGACGTTGACTTCTAATTCGCTTGAGTAACTAGATTTGTATGATTTATTCACATTCAGTAACTCTAGAATATTTGTAATAATTAAACTGCTACTATCTTCTATTATTTAGTTAAATAAATAACTGATGATACTTTAGAGTACTTTTACAAAGTAATGTTACATATTGCAAATTTGCACATGTGCAAGTCACCATATTTGAAAGGGAAATATCTATATACACCTACGTAATCAAACGATTTATAAATAATATATGCATAAAGAAGGTTGACGTCATAGGCCTCCATATTTTGCAAACACAATATCTAAATCTCATTGTTTTATAAAGAACAAAGAATCAAAACAACGATGTTTTCATATGCGAGTGTATATCTTTTGGGACAGAAATAATACTTAATGTTTTGTTCTAATAATTTATGTTCTGTTTATGAATGATAATTATTTCCTGTGGAACGATGAAAGAATGTATTATTGATTTCACTAAATTAATATAGTAATAATAATAAAAATTTCATTGTTTTATAAAAAACAAATAATCAAAACAACGATGTTTTCATGTGCGAGTTTTGAACAGAAATAATACCTAATGTTTTTGTCTAATAATTTATCTTCTATTTATGAATGATAGTTATTTCCTGTGGAACGATGAAAAAGTTTATTATTGACTTCAATAAGTTGATTCATGTCCAGATAAGGCTTATAACGACAATCTGTACAATATGTGATTTGACTTGAAATGATACCACATATGTGGCATCTAAGCTTTCAATTTAATTTAAGCAAATAATATTTCTTGTTAAAATTTAAAATATAATAATATTTTTCTCAATTTTACAGAACAAAATTGCGGTTAGAATCATTAGAAGATGCAGTAGTATTAGAAAATCCACAATTAGATTGCTTGAGGGATAAGCGTGGTTGTCCAGCGTACGTGGCGCCTGAAATATTAAGGGCGCATCGAGACTACTCGGGCAGGGCTGCGGACATGTGGAGTTTAGGCGTCATATTATACACGATGCTGGTTGGCAGGTGAGATTTGCAAAAATATTTATAGAAACTCATATTATGTAGGAAAGTCCACGTCGGATAATGAATGTATAATTATCTAAAGCTTAATTTTTTATGGAACTCACTGAAGACTTTATATATAGATGATAACAACAAATTCTGGGAGATATTTTATTTCTTAGGTTAATTAGATGAATGGAATTATGTACAAATGATTATTGATAGTATTTATGAATTAATAGGAATACTGAAATATGTACTGAATTTACCAACTATTCTTTTATGCATTACACATTTTATGTGAAAATATTGGAATCTATTTTTTATACATAATGAAGCTACTTGTTATTTTTCAAACCACTTCCTTTTCGTTTTCTTAATTACATTTTATTATATAAAATCTCTATATCAACCTTCATTATTATATATAATGTTAATCACAGACTGAAAATCCTTAATTAATGTTGAATAATAATTAGATCCATATTGTTCCCCTAATAAAGAACGTACTCATTATCTTTCTCGAGATCTACCTTTAACCCTATATAAAATCAGTACTGTTCAAATTGCTCACAATATTCATGAATATTGTTACAAGAAAGGAAATGAATATGATACAAAGTGCACGCTTCGCATTTATTATTTCATGCTTGAAATAAGAGCTATAAAAATTTATTAATTATGGAAGGAGAACCGGATGCTTACATTGCTCATAAGAAATAATAATCGTAGATTATTTTATCATTTAATTGCTGAATAATATTAGTACAAAAGTCAAATTTCAGGTTTATAAGTAAGAGTCTGAATTATGTTTTACGAAATTTTTAGAGTATAACCATGTTCTTAAAAGAAATGTGCTGCTTAACAATATCACCAGCAACTCGGTCTCCTTGCTTCTAATTATTTAACTAATTTGTCGAAGTGTTGACACTTTTTTCGTACTTCATTTAGTATTTTTTAATTAAAATAACTATTTTCTTCCTGTAATTTCCTATTATTTATTCCGCCAACTGAAGGAGAATTATTCTTGTTCTTTTTAAAGCTTTGCCACCAAAGAACGCGGTGATGAACCGAACTGGTTCGTTAACCACGACACGCGTGCCAGTGGCTCGTGTCCCTGAAATAGCTTAGGGACGAGCCCTGGTGAAGTTGTGCATTAAATCGTAAATTAAATGTTTTCTGTTCAAGTCATGACCAGGAATTCTCATAGCTATTAAGATTATAAAATGACTTTATGAAAAAGTCTTTGAAAACTTCAGGAAATTAATAAATCAAATTCCATGCATCATTTGCTGGAATGTAAAATTATTAATCTATTCAGTAAATGTGTGGGGCTCTTAATGTTTCATACAACTGTTTAATGCCATTATAGTATTTTTTATATTTTTATTATACGTATTAAACGACATTAAAATCTGTTATCAGAATTGTTTCTAGAGAAAATATATTAATACTAAACTATGAAATGTACAAATAATGCTCGAAAAGTATTATGTGGTCTAATTTCTACATTTATATTTTGATACATAAATTTATTATAGAGTCTTGAAAACATCTGTCAGTATTTTTATTTTACCTTATAATAACGATATAAAAAACTAAATTTTCATATCGACTGCTTATTTTTATACTATTGCATAACTTTGACCAACAGAAAAAGGGAATGACCCCTAAATAAAAACAAACAGTTTTTACTGACATTTTTGCGGGTTTTAATTTTTTTTGTGTATATCAACATGCTGTATATTGCTTTCGATCGTATATATATCTTTATATCTTGGTATGTCAGTTAACATTCGCAGGTAGCGAGTAGCAAATGATTTAAAAAATTTAAAAATCATCTTCTTAGAAATTGTAAAAAGTTTACGAAATTAAAAAAAAACGCAAGGATTGATGCTCATGCACATATTTAAGTTTTATGATAATTTATTAAATCATTTTTCTTAATAATTAAATTAATAATGAATATATTGATTAATAAAATGAATATATTAATCATGAATGAATGAATATATTAATAAATAAATAAATTAATAAACGTGTTGGTTGGTCCCTAGGCCTACGGCTTAAATCCTAAGATTTCTGAATTGTTTTAATAGAGTTCAAGTTTCGTCTTATCGTTCGTGTCCACAAAATTGCAAAAATTTTTTTCGTTCTTAAGCGCCGAACGGGTTTAACGTCAATGCGGCAGGTTCGATGCGGGCTCATTAGCCGGCAGAAGCTCGAGTTGCACCTGCCTTGGCGTGTGATGAATGATGATGATGACTCAAGTTACATTACATAGGATGACCGAAGGCAACTCCCAAAAATACACCACACATGAACATACGAATACGAGACACAGAAATCAACAGAAACGGCATGCGTTTAGTTATACAGCACGCGTCTTTTAATGTTCTCAAATCACGTGTTTACAAATAACATTTTCGAAACATGCAAGTAGATACACACAGTTTGCTTTAATGTAGTTTTAAAAAAAAACAATATTGAAAATTGTTTATGCTGATTGTCTGATTTATGTCTATTACAATTCTAATTCTGAAATACCTCAGTCCAGAGGAATGAATTTTATGGGATTTTCAAAAGGTCCTATAAAAGGCAAACGATATTTTTACTATATTTTTAATCAATGTTTCGAGAATATAGAAAACAATTTGAAAATAGTCATAAAGTTTTATTTTTAGAAGGTGATGGGCGTTCTCCAAAAATTGGCACCTTGATTATATTCATAATGATTAGGCCTCCTAATAAATTGAAGAAATATATATGTATATATACATATATATATATATATATATATATATATATATATATATATATATATATATGTATATATATATATATAGCATTAATCTAGAATCATGTTTCAATCGTGTGAACAAGTTAAAATATGTTTTTTTATATTCTCGATTTTTTTTAAAAATAGTAAAAATCGGAATTCCAGGATGAGCGTAGTTCATTCTGAAGAGAATATTCTGGAAAAATTTTAAGTAAATCGGTCCAGTAAAAGTTGAAAAATCGTCGAAAAGACAGTTTTGAGAAAAACGCGTTAAGTTTTGCGGCGGTATGAAGGATTATCGCGGTCAAAAAAGTGTATCTTCACAAATAATTTAAACCTTGAAAATATTTCTTGTAAACATATTTTTGAATCAGTTAAACTTTGAAGATCTCCAAAAAAAACTCCAAAAAGAAAAATAGTTCGACAATTCATTGTTTTATGGTACAGTTGTTTTGTCGGAGAATTTTGGTTTTCATCCTGATTCATTTTTATATTTTTTTTATTTTATATATATTTTTAGGATAGGTTTATTTGATAAATTAATTACCAATTTACTGATTACCGTTCTACCCCACACGTTGGTATTTAAAAGATGTTTTACAATAAAGACTTATTTTCTTGATCGACATAAATACTTAATTTTTAATCTTAACACCGAATTCGTTATATTAGTTATATTAGATAAAATAACGACAACATAACCATGCACAATTTGCCAAAATTATGAGTGTCGGTTATTCCTGCGACTTACTGTGCGTGAGGATCACTAAGCACCTGTCGTTTTATAGTATTTTTGGCTTTTGTCCTGATAAGTGAAGAGAGTTCTCTCATATACTCAGCCGCGATATTCCAACAGCTTGCCCTTAGGCATCCCAAGAATTAAACGGGAAGGGGATACAAAAAGCACCAAAAAAATCAGATCTCTGATACTAAAAAGCACCTGCCGTTTCAACTGACAGGCTAAATCGCGTATTTCAGAACAGAATTAATATTCTATTATTTGAACTAAATCATTTCTGCAATAAGAATTTATTTATTAAGAATCATTGAAAGTTGTAACAAAGTGAAAAGCAAGATGCTACTTCCTTAGGCACCGATAATGATTATAAGTAAAAATCTAATTGAACCTTAATATTTTAAAATCATTATATTTTTATTTATAAATTCGTGAACCGCTTATTTTTTTTTTGCGAATATTTTAGAAATTAGAGGTATATATTTACTATTTAATTCGTATTATAATTACTATCTTAAAATTTTTGTCGAATTTCTTGTTTTCGATCTCTACTATGAAATTAAAAATGTTATTTATTTGTGGTGAGTTTTGTATATAACTAATATATATATATAAAAGAATCGTATATTTTCATGCTACCGGCCCTTTAACGTTTTTTCTATTCATATTATTCTGGAGTGTTATATATATATGTTATATATATATATATATATATATATATATATATACACGTCTGTTATATTATACCCCTTTAAGCTAGTATGTGGAAAATTGGAAGATTTTTTGTAATTACAAAAAAGGTTTCGAAACGGTCGTTTAGACGAGTTATTTCCTTTGTACTTTGTTCTGAGATTTAATAACAGATCGAATTTCTTGTTTCTTTACATAATTTCTCATAAAGGAATATTTTTTAAAAATTTTTTATCTTTTAACATTTCCGTGCCATTCTGACTATAGTTCAGAAAAGACTTTAAATTTAAAATGATACTCTTTCTGAATGCTATACGTATTTTTTATTTGCAAAAATTATGTTTAATTAATTTTATATAATTTAACAATTCAGAACGTGAAGCAGTTAGATCAGCAATTTTTTAAAATCATATGGCATTCTTAAAATCTTTTAATTACTTTTAGTGTAGCTACTGAACATGTTTAGATATATATGTTTTTAAAATTATTATGATAAAGCACAAACATATATATATATATATATATATATATATATATATGTGTGTGTGTGTGTGTGTGTACTACTAAATCATATATATATATATATATATATATATATATATATATATATTTATAATTTAAGAACAAAGTATGTATTGTTGTATTCCACTAACTTTTTTTTCTTTTATTTGCAGATATCCGTTTAACGATTCAGAACATGCGTCGTTATTTGCAAAAATAACCCGCGGGGTCTTTGTGATACCAGACTGCCTCAGCGCTAAGGCTCGTTGCCTGGTCAGGTCGCTCCTTCAGAGATCTCCCTGCGATCGGCTCAGTGCTGAAGATGTTCTTCACCATCCATGGTTAATAAATGAAGAACGCCAGGAAATCCAATTCTCGAGGAATAACTCAGATCAACAAGTACCAGATTTCGACCCCTACGATTTTAACATGGATTCTGACGCCATGGACGTCGATTGCTGAATCAGTTTTTTTCACATAATTCAGAAATAAGATGTTAAAAGTGATAGGTAATATATAGCATGTGAAGAAGAAAGTTAAGTTAGTAGGAGACATGATTATGAAGAATGTAGTGATAATCTAAAATTTTCTTTCTGTTTGGTTCCAAACAGTACAAGTCTAAGCGACTTAACAAGATGGATCTCAATTTTGTTTTTAAATGAAGATAAAATTATAAGGAGGACTTACAAATGATCTTAGACTTCAAGAATAGTGTGAAGCAGGATAAGCATAAAATCTTGTTACAAATAATATGATTAATGTGATCATGACTAACTCATTTTCTAGAAGCTAAGATTTATATAATATTCGTGCAATATTTGAAATTCAAAATAGTTCATAGTAAATATGTCTCCTACTATTAATAAAAAAATCACATCTGAATCGTACCTACGTCGATTTATTAAGAAATGTCTTTGTCATTAGAGAACAAAAACTTTTGTTGTTATTAATTTTGTTTGTTTTTATATTATGTTTTATAAGAAATCAATTTGTTTCTTTGTAACTTGGTTTAGTTTCTGTTGTAAAATAGATTTATCGGGGACCCAATAATTTTTCCTAAAATTGTGACTGTGTGATATATGCTAAGTAATTTAATTCACAAAATGTTTAAATACAAAGTTAAAATAGGCAAATATCATTATTGTTAGCATATATTCCATGACTAAGCTTTTAAAAAATGCATATACTTTTACTGCAATGTTTGTACATAGTATATTATAAGATTGTTCTACATTTAGTCATTGGATGAATAATAACGAAAGTTAAAGAGAATTTCTGTATATGTTAAATTAATTCTTCAGCTATATAGGCAATCCTTTATTGATTTTATAAAATTCCCTGCTTATGATTAGGTAATTTTAATTTTAAAAGCACTTGCTTAAATTTCAAATCATATTTCCGGGTAGTTAGTGTTGACTTCAATCACTGAATGCGATTTTGGTGTTCTGAATACTGTTTCAAATATTTGCAAATTATGTATATGTAAATATAAAATTACTTCTATATAAATCTCTCTAAATTATGGTAATTTATTATTTATCTTAATGTCTACAAAACTTTATTACTTAAATTGTTATTAAACGCTTACGGAAAAGAAATAATGAATAATAAATAAATATCATCATTTCTGAACAATTTTTTATGGTGTCTTTAGATGCATACATACATCCAGTGTTCGAAATGTATTTATTAAGTTTGGTGTTTAGGATATATTGCATTATTAAATTATTGTGTCAAAGGTTTTAGAATTCTATATGATGAGCTTCCGTAAAATTTATTTCAAAAAACTTTGTGTTTATTGTTTTTTATATCTATTTTATTAAAACACCGTGAACAAAAACGTTAATGTATCACATTAATAAAGGTATAAGTTTAAATACTGTCTTGATTTAATTAAATGATTATTAAAGACTGAAATAATTATATTTTCATCAAAAAGCAAATTAATTTATATTTAGTATTTGCAATTAGATGTATTTATAAAATGATTTTACATATAGTCATTTGTTGTAAATTATATATATATTATGCAAGATCGTTAAACTAAGATCGTGTAGTTCTTGAAAAATAATAAATTATTGAATTTAATTAAGATATATCGGCGTTAATTTCCATATTAAATAAACCAAGTACATCTTACAAGATTTATTAAAGGAGTTTTAAGTTTTTGTTCTGTATTAGTAATATTGTTAATGAATCAGTATGTACTAAATAGATATACCACATTCAAAACTAATATAAATGGCTGTAAATTTTATTTACTTAAGTTATATTTATCAACAGAAGAAAACAAACTGTAAATATTAGAATAATTATCTTTTAATTGTAACCACCTTACTGTCATAATAAAAAATATTATGTAGCTCGCATTTTTGGTTTACAGATATATGGTTTTCATGTGAAACAAATTCATTTATAATTTAAAATTATATTAGTTTTATAAAATCGGTATAGTCTATACTATAGACTATAGACTCTATAGTGTTAACCAAGTAAGTAAAGACAAATTAATATTATAAATCACTAAACAAGCAGAAATTGTTCGATCTGTCGTATATTTTGGAGCTTAAACATTCTTTAGATATTTTGAACTCCCGCTTTTGAGTCCGCATACATTTTTTTGTTGGTTATCGTGTTAAATCAAAAGTCAACTTGACAGCTCGCAGATGACCGATATCTGCGAGCTGTCACTTGTAATTTGTTTTGGTAATGGGAATGTTTGAAAGATAACACAAATTATTATTTATATTTATTGTTATCGCACAGAAAATATTTTTTTTAACAATGGTTATGAGATCGAGTAGTAATCCTAATCTTTCTGATGATTCCCATATTGACATGGACGTCGATTTAACTCCAGAAATGAGGCAGTACAGGAAGAAATATCAATTGTTGCTTGAACGTTGCGAAATTATACAACAAGATAATGAAAGAATAGTTCATAGGTAGGAAATTTATATTTATCATTATTATATATATATATATATATATTATATATATAAATTAATTTTGTTTTGTTCATGATACAAGAATACAAAAAATAAAAAAGATGACAAAATGTTACAAAAGAGATGTTAAATTATTAATGAGAGAACTCGATAAACATGGTGATGAATGGAGAACTGCTGAAGATGAAGTAGATCTAAAGCCTGATGATCTTATTATTAAACGAGAAATAAAAAGAGAGAAGAATGATAAGCTTTCCAAGAGCAATAATAAATCCAATTCAAAAAAGAAGACAGGAACCAGAAAAAAGATTAAAACAGAAAAGGTATAAACAAGACAAATTTTATAAGTTAATTGTTAAGTAATATTTTGATTATTTTACAACAGGATAAAGATCCAAATGCACCAAAGCGACCACCTAATGCATTCTTCCTATTCTGCCAAGAACAAAGACCTATAGCCATGCAAAAGCTTGCTGCATTTAGTCAAAATGAACCAAATAAACAAGAACTTACTAGACATTTAGCACTATTGTGGAGAAATCTTCCACCGGATGAAAAGCAGGTTAGAGCAGATTCCATTGAATATTCATTCATTTATTTTTATGTTGACTTTGTATAATAGAAAACTTTACTTTCCAGATCTACATTGAAAGATATGAAATATCTAAAGAAAAATATGATGAAAAGATGTCAGCTTATATTAAGAAAGAATAATTTAATTGATAGAATGTGATGTATATAAATAAAATCTAATTTTGAACTACATGTTCTGCAAGAATATTTTTTATATATTGAGAATATTGAAAAAAAGTTCCCCTTATTGATCCTAATATACATATTTCAATTTATAGCAACATGAAGAGCCAACATTTTATATGAGAAGAAAAATTATTTGAAAGTTATATTTGTAACGTGAAAATGATACACAGATTAAACAGCTATAAGATCTGATTTGCTTTTGATCACTTTATAAATATGTGCTAGAAATTTTTATAATTCAAATTTATGTTATGTTAATAATATAAATTATATATATATATATATATATATATATACAAGTTAATTACATTTACAAAATTATATATACAAAACAAAAAAATTATATACAAAAGATATATATATATCAAAAAGACAAAGTTACATATTTATATTTTTAAATTTCGTACATTTGGATATACAATGCAGCCAATAGAACAAACTGTGACACTGACTCGTGGCTCTGACATAGCATATGGCGTCGGAGAGTTGACCTTTCCGGTTTCACACGTCCCTAGCAAGATGGCGAGAAAGAAAGATGAGAAAATTACACAAAATAGTGATAATAAAATGATATAGTAGATGTTGCAAATGAAGATGAACCCGACTTTGATGATCCCGAAGGTTTTGTGGACGACATAGACGATGAGGGTAAGTGACGAATGATGCAGCAATATGCTGTCGGCGTGCATTAGATACATTTAGAACAAGTTCAAATTTCGCCGAAACTAAGCAATAATAATGTACAAATGAAATGTATCCCTTCTTAAATAACTAATGTGCATAGTTTACAACTTTCTATAAGTACGCAATTAGTTACTTCTGCACTTGTTAAATTGTCATAACCTATATGTTCAATGCCTATCATTTTGGTTACGCCCGATTTTGTTGATCCTTAGATTTGATGCCCGATATATTGAAGCTCAAACCCCGTGAATCCGATGGTGTCGAAAATGTGATTGTAGTGGACGGCGTTCCAAAGGTTGAGCCGGAACGTCTAGAAAAACTACAGGTGGTCATAAACAAAATTTTCAGCAGATTTGGAGGTAATTGTTTAGATATATTTTCTTATCAGCGTCTACATTAAATAATACCAAAATTGTTATATTTAGGTACGATTGTGAACGAATACTACCCAAAAAATGAAAATGGGTCAACGAAAGGCTATATATTTCTTGAATATGCCAATGCCGAAGAGGCTAAAGCTGCTGTTGGTTTTGCTAATAATTACAAGCTTGACAAAGCGCACACATTGCAAGTTAATTTGTTTACTGATTTTGAAAAGTAAGTGACAGATTTTAATTTAATATTGATTTATGTGAACTTGAACTATATGGAATAATTACTACATAACATTAGTTATAAGCAATGTGGTGGTTATATTGCAGATATGCTAATATTCCTGATGAATGGGAGCCACCAACCCCTTTGCCCTATAAAGTACAAACTGACCTGCATTCGTTTTTGTTAGACAATGATGCATATGATCAGTTTTCAGTTGTGTGCAGTTCTGAAATGGGTATGCAAGTACAAATTTGGCAAAATTCACAGCCTGATCCCACTGAACTGGAAAACAGAAATGTAAGTAGTTTACAATTTTATTTGCAATTTATATGGTGATTTAACCTAAAAGCAATATATTAATGTATAATTAAATTTTTTTTTAGAATTTTACTGATGAATATGTTAAATGGTCACCTTTAGGCACATATCTAGTTACTTTTCACAAACCTGGAGTTGGATTATGGGGTGGTCCAAATTTCACCCGCATTGCTAGATTTCCTCATCCAGGTGCTCGTTTTATTGATTTTAGTCCTTGTGAAAATTATCTAGTTACTTACAGTGGAATGATGGATGAACCAAAATTATTATTTGGGATATTAGAACTGGACAAGAAATGAGATCATTTTTACCAGAAGGCCCAAGAGTATGGCCAATTTTCCGCTGGTCAAAGGATGATAAATACTTGGCTCGAATGGGAAATGATATATTGTCAATTTATGAAACTCCATCATTTGGTTTATTAGATAAAAAATCAGTGAAAGTACCTGGAATTCGTGATTTTCAGTGGTCACCAACAGATAATGTTTTAGCTTATTGGGTAGCTGAAGATAAAAATGTTCCTGCTCGTGTAACATTATTAGAAATACCAAACCGCACAGAAATCCGTAATAAAAACCTTTTCAATGTTGCTGATTGTAAAATACATTGGCAGAAGAGCGGTGATTATCTTTGCGTGAAGGTTGATCGGTATGCAAAATTGCGCAAAGAAAAAAATGAAGTGATTGGGGGTGAGGTCAAATATTCTGGAATGTATTATAA